AGTGGATTTAGTCTTCCCCTTGAGACTGTGCTCTATTCACCCAGGGTACAATGTATTTAGTCTTCCCTTTGAGGCTGTGGTCTATTCACCCAGGGTACAGTGGATTTAGTCTTCCCTTTGAGGGTGTGGTCTATTCACTCAGGGTACAGTGGATTTAGTCTTCCCCATGAGGGTGTGGTCTATTCACCCAGGGTACAGTGGATTTAGTCTTCCCTTTGAGGGTGTGGTCAATTCACTCAGGGTACAGTGGATTTAGTCTTCCCCATGAGGGTGTGGTCTATTCACCTCAGGGTACAGTGGATTTAGTCTTCCCCATTGAGGGTGTGGTCTATTCATCAGGGTACAGTGGATTTAGTCTCCCCCTGAGACTGTGCTCTATTCACAGGGTACAGTGGATTTAGTCTTCCCCTTGAGACTGTGCTCTATTCACAGGGTACAGTGGATTTAGTCTTCCCCTTGAGACTGTGCTCTATTCACCCTGGGTACAGTGGATTCAGTCTTCCTTTTGAGTCTGTTGTCTATTCACCCATGGTACAGTAGATTTTGTCTTCAATCCCTTGAATATATGGTCTGTTCACTCAGGGCAGGGATCAACCCATATTTGGTATTCTACCCAAGGTAAGATTTGAACTCTGATGCTACAGTTCGATGCTACAAACACTATGCCATCAGCAATCAGTAAAATAAAATTTAGCATAAACTGTGATATTTAAAAAAAACAATGCTAATTTTCTCACCAGCAGGGCAAGGTGTGCATTCACTTGGTTCTGGAGTCCAGTTGCTATGGTATCCTCGGTGTAGGTACCATTAGGACACAGTGTAGGTTCGACAGACCCTTCTGGACAGTACGCATATGGTTCACATTCCATTGGCACGCTACTATTGTACATACAATAAAAGCCAGGTGGACATATGTCACAGTCTATCTCAAGTTCATTAGGTTGGTAAGTACCTGTCATCAAATAGTATGCAATAAACAGAATGATAAGTCAGTAGTCTGTGTTGTGAATGACATCTGTTCAATCAGGAAACTCAATAAGTGACAGATTTGGTAAATTATTGTGTGAATCTACTATAAACATTTAGCTACAAGAAATCTTTTTAATTTGTTGATTAAACAAGCATTCACAAAAACACAGAGGCATGAAAGTCTCAAAAACAATATTTTTGAGGCATTTACAGATTTTAAGCATTGAATCCCAGCATGCAATGCTTTTTCAATTTCTGCTGCTGTTGCATACACAACAGAAGAAATAATATGCATCTTTTGAATATCACAACTTCAAAACTGTAGTGTACCAGAAGTTATTTAAATTTTGAAGCCAATTGGTTTCGATAAGTTTTGCATTAGAGTGAAATGCACAAACACTGTGCATGATCATATTCCACTTCAGATAAAAACAAATAGAACATACCAGGAGCACACCATAAGGAGTACCAGTGTTTTCAAGACAGTAGAAACCTTTAGGACAAGGGTAGCAGTTGGAGTTGGATTATCAATCGGAACATCTCCTGGACAGTAAAATCCTTCATTACAAGGACCAGTTGGGGAGTCCATTCCCGTATCTGCACAATAGAAACCTGGTAAACATGGTCTACAATCATCAACAGATTCACCACCCGTATTCGGATTCATTGTACCACGTGGACATGCTGTAGCATTGGAAGTACCTAGTAAACAAATAAATACAAGTATACTAGATCACGTTACACACAAAAATCCATATTTGGTGAATTTGATAACATGAGTTATTAATACTACCGGTAAGTATGTTATAGTTGATTTAGATTTGTAGATATCTTGTGTGATTTCCTGTGACACTGTTGATTATCAACTCATACAATTCTATATCGTTGGAATGCAACAAAACATTGATGTAGTATTTTGAATTTTAGACCAAATGGACAATAAGTTCCTATTGGGTAAATTTAAGGTAGCAAGACTATTATTTGTGTTAAAAATTACGATTTTCACATTTATTTATTAATTGATGAAATACACTATAAACTTTCACGTGATAAAGTCAACATAACATAGAATGTCATATAAGTTGGTTAAAATGTAGATTTTCTGAAGGGAAGCAAGGCAGCCTCAGTAGTGTTTTCCAGAATCAACAACAAAGGTTTAATCTGTGTGCCTATAAGTTTCAAAGATAAACTCAAAACGTATGTATGTATTATTTTTTTTACAGAAAAAGTCATTTTTCACCTTTGATTGAGTAACGCGTCGTAGAATGCAGATACAGGCATGCAAAATACACTTGTGAAAAGCTTGAAGTCTGGCGATTCTAAAAATATAAACTTTCCTGGGTCTATTTGTAGTTATTTAGTCACAATTAGAAGATGAAAACAAGTATGCAAATAATAGTCCCGCTACCTTAATGATAACTTAGTGAAAGATGGCAAATGCACACTTGAAGCATTCAAAGGGTAAATTATACAATAGGGTGAACCAAAGCAGCTCAATCTCTGTTGGAATCACAAAATTATCACAAACACCACCTGACCTGATTTGACCTTTCACCTATTTAGCATAAGTCAGAAGCCAAAGGCTGAAATGTTAACATATTTTACCTTGTTCACAGTAATGTCCAACAGGACATGGTCCATTGATGCCATCATCACCAGGTTCAGCACTACTAGCACCACCACCACACACGTAGCCAGCATCACATAAGTCACTCGGCCATGATAAACCAGATAAGTCGCAGTACATACCAGGCAGACATGGCTGACATGCACTGGCAGATTCCAAACCAGTTAAGTTGTTGAATGTTCCTATGGAAGAGTGTCGTAATAACGGTAAACACAAATATCAACAAGTCATTGACACAGTCCATTGATCTTGTATATCAGACATCCCAAAGACAGAGACTTTAGTAAAGTGTCCACAGTTGAGATGATAGTCGTGAAAAAATTTATCAAATTGGTCTTTTCAGAGAGATCAAAGATCAAGTTTCGAGAAAAACTTCATGAAATAATTTTAGTCATAATAATTTTTATTTTGGTTTGCATGTAATTTGTGAAAAATCAGTGAAATAGCAAATCCATAAAAATAAAATTATAATAATATTTATCTTACTTTGAAAAATTTCCACTAGATAAGTTTATAACCATATGTGTATGTAATTAATACAGAGATTGGCTGATGACATCATCAATGTGAATTAACCAATGAGAATCTCACCTATTGGACATGGTATACCATTGCCTGTTGTATTTTCCACACAGTAGTAACCACCTGGACATGGTAAGGTTTCATTCATTCCTTTATTAGGACATGTAGTACCGACAGGACATCCAAGACATTCACCCAATCCTATGCTTGGTGCATAGCTACCTTTATTACACATGATTTCAACATTTGTAGCACTCGGGCAATAGTGACCTTCAGGACAAATGTATCCCATAATTCCATCTGCTGGTTCACCTAAACTCGACCCACCAGTACAGACATAGCCAGGAGAACACGGCATGGTATCACCTGCAGAAAAACATTTAGTATGAATTAAAAATCAACTTTTTAGAATTTTAAAATTGTTTTGTGAATCACCACTTGATATGGGCAGGATTATTAACTTACCAGTCTGAGAGCTTTCTGGTGTACAATACTGCCCTGGTGGACATGGTGCACAGTCTGTAATATTCTTATTACCTTCCCCACTAGATATAGGTACCTGATGGACAAGGCGTTGGCATGTAGCTACCAAGAGGACAATAATTACCCACAGGACAGAGCCAAGCAGCTGGTGTTGGGGTGTCTATGCCACCTGTACAATAATAGCTGTAATACAAAGAGAAATATCAGACTGTGATTAATGAATGCATATTGGAACATAATATGAATAATACAGCAAAGTTTGCTGGAGTGAGCCACACTGATGTGTTTGATAAAATGAAGAGTTTCACATGTGACGCAATATAATGCACATTATTAATACAAATAACATCATAGAACACGTTAATGCAGGTTTTTACAGATTTTCTATTTACAATGCCGGACAAACAGTGCCAGGAATGTATATGTTGTTATAGTAGCATGCTTAGCAACTTTTATAGTATGTGGTCTGAATCACAGATCAATTTTAAGTCAAATTTCCCTTGGGGCGACATTGGGAAAATAAATGAATTCACTTCAGTATGTTCTCCATTTTACTGCTGCAAGATTCACACAGGACTGAAGTTGTCAATGAATTTCTTAGTAATTTTTGTAGAATAAAACATTTATTTGTGCAAAGATGTTCAGTCCCTCATGAGTAAATAATTTGAATTCCACACTCCTATAATAATGCACTACAAATGCAAACTTATTTAGTTTAAATTGTTAACCAAGAGAATTAGAATGTAAGAATGTCTCTTTTAGAAGGAAAAAAAGAAAATCATCAACCAAATATGTATTTTCAAAAAACATTCCCGGAGTCCTGTAACATCCAGAAGTGTGTATGGTTGTGTATATATATATTGTCAGTATTACGTCCTAACAAACACAGTACGACATGTATATGTACAGCTACATATCGTACACAGATGTATTTAACATTGCCATGGAAAACATGTGTTCGATAATCTCTCAAATATTTCAATGGATACATTTTTGTCCTAAAATGAAATATAGTCTGAGTACAAGACAACAAACAGAATTCTTCCAATTCTGATGAAAAAACGGCCATTTTGAAACACATAAAAATTATGCTAAGTGAGGGCATTGTGTAAAAATATGAATTTTCAACTACACATGTGTTTGTGTATCACAGAAAGGCAGACAAAGAAAAAGAAGAAGAAAGAAAGAAGAACTGGCTCTAGATGTAATGAGTATGGCAATAGTAATATTACATCACAATATCCAAAATGAAGAATCCTGTTCACTATCTGGTGTATGTAGGTGATAATAAAAGTTGATTGTAGGTATACTCACCCTGCATAGCATTCACCCTCTGGTTCAGCCAGTCCTGGAGTCATACAGTAATACTTGGGTGGACAGTGAAGACATTCAGATACATCTACAGCATTCGTAGAATTCAGGAATGTTCCACTGGGACATGGATACTCATTAGATCTGGTTGTACCAGCTAAACAATAATATCCTTCAGGACATGATGCATTGAACAGACCAGTTACTGCTGATATGGTGTTGTCACAATAATAACCTGTGAAATTGGAATTTGTAATTTATTTGTTCACCAGATACAAAAAGGAAACAGACACTATAAAGGTAATCAAAGAAAGTTTAGAAAGAATTCCTGTGTGCTAAGGGTATTGGAGGCATGAAGTACAAATAAGAAATACTGTTTTCACTATATTAGAATCTCCAATTCACATAAAGCAAAATTGTATTTATTGTATTTTTATTTTTATTTTTTTTATTAGACGCATAAAATCCTTAAGAAAGGATAAAAAGGGTCTTACAGAAAGAAATAAAAAAAAAAACTACAATCTAAAAAAGAAAACAAAAAATAAAAACTTTTCTAAAAAAAATAAATAAAACAAGTCAAAAACAAAAAAAGACAATTTGTATGCAAATCATGCCTTATTTTGACCACAGACTTGCGTTTGTTCGAGATATTACATTTATATATATTAATGAAGTCACATGACTATCTCACATGTCATATCTCTTGCCAAATGCCTTCATTATAGCATTTGTGACAAATA